TAGGGGTGGGCAAAAAAATTGAAAATTTTTTCAAGGTCCGAGGTGGGCGAAAAATTGAAAATTTTTTCAAGGTCCGGGGTGGGCGAATAATTGAAAATTTTTTCAAGGTCCGGGTGGGCAAAAAAATTGAAAATTTTTTCAAGGTCCGGGGTGGGCAAAAAAATTGAAAATTTTTTCAAGGTCCGGGGTGGGCAAAAAAATTGAAAATTTTTTCAAGGTCCGAGGTGGGCGAAAAATTGAAAATTTTTTCAAGGTCCGGGGTGGGCGAATAATTGAAAATTTTTTCAAGGTCCGGGTGGGCAAAAAAATTGAAAATTTTTTCAAGGTCCGGGGTGGGTGAAAAAATGAAAATTTTTTCAAGGTCCGGGGTGGGTGAAAAAATGAAAATTTTTTCAAGGTCCGGGGTGGGTGAAAAAATGAAAATTTTTTCAAGGTCCGGGGTGGGTGAAAAAATGAAAATTTTTTCAAGGTCCGGGGTGGGTGAAAAAATGAAAATTTTTTCAAGGTCCGGGGTGGGTGAAAAAATGAAAATTTTTTCAAGGTCCGGGGTGGGCGAAAAAATGAAAAATTTTTCAAGGTCCGGGGTGGGCGAAAAAATGAAAAATTTTTTCAAGGTCCGGGGAGGGCGAAAAATTTTCAAATTTTTTCAAGGTCCGGGCTGGGCGAAAAAATGAAAAATTTTTCAAGGTCCGGGGTGGGCGAAAAAATGAAAATTTTTTCAAGATCCGGGGTGGGCGAAAAAATGAAAAATTTTTCAAGGTCCGGGGTGGGCGAAAAAATGAAAATTTTTTCAAGGTCCGGGGTGGGCGAAAAAATGAAAATTTTTTCAAGGACTGGGGTGGGCGAAAAAATGAAAATTTTTTCAAGGTCCGGGGTGGGCGAAAAAATGAAAATTTTTTCAAGATCCGGGGTGGGCGAAAAAATGAAAATTTTTTCAAGGTCCAGGGTGGGCGAAAAAAATGAAAATTTTTTCAAGGTCCGGAAAGGGCGAAAAATTTTCAAATTTTTTCAAGGTCCGGGGTGGGCGAAAAAATGAAAATTTTTGAAGGTCCGGGGTGGGCGAAAAAAATGAAAATTTTTTCAAGGTCCGGGGAGGGCAAAAAATTTTCAAATTTTTCAAGGTCCGGGGTGGGTGAAAAAATGAAAATTTTTTCAAGGTCCGCGGTGGGCGAAAAAATGAAAATTTTTTCAAGGTCCGGGGTGGCTGAAAAAATGAAAATTTTTTCAAGGTCTGGGGTGGGCGAAAAAATGAAAAATTTTTCAAGGTCCGGGGTGGGCGAAAAAATGAAAATTTTTTCAAGGTCCGGGGAGGGCAAAAAATTTTCAAATTTTTTCAAGGTCCGGGCTGGGCGAAAAAATGAAAAATTTTTCAAGGTCCGGGGTGGGCGAAAAAATGAAAATTTTTTCAAGATCCGGGGTGGGCGAAAAAATGAAAAATTTTTCAAGGTCCGGGGTGGGCGAAAAAATGAAAATTTTTTCAAGGTCCGGGGTGGGCGAAAAAATGAAAATTTTTTCAAGGTCCGGGGTGGGCAAAATGGAAAATTATTTGTACCCGTCTGGTATTATTCAGTAGAGTGATATTTAAGATGCTAGACAGCAGCAAGCAGACATGCAAAAATCTGTCAAAGGAATGCTCGCTTCACTGTATTATGTACGGCGCTACCTGTGTGGGTTTACTAGAAACGTCACCATGCAGCGTTTTATAAACGGCAACTTAAACAGCGCCATCTCATGAGATATCCGATGAAAAATTTTTATCATGTCTGAGAACAACTTTGTATAAACCATGTTCACGTATCTTTACTCTTTAACCTCTAGGTAAGTTGCCTTAATGTATCACTTCAGCCAAAAGTATATATTAACTAGTACACTCTGCCTTTGGGCGCTCATTATGAAAGTCACTAACAATATTGTTTTTCCAGGCTTTAGATAAGTTGATTGAAAAACACAACCAGCTTCAAGATGCTGCTCAGAAAGGTACTTTATGTATGATCACGTAAAATTAATTCTTGGTCTCAATTGTCAAATGGCTACAGTAGAACTACCGTCAACATACGTTCTTTTTAAATGCTTTTATTATATTCCCTTTGGCGATAACCTCGCGATTCTGCATCGAAATTGACTATCATGCAAGTACGGTTGTTACAGGCTACAGCTGTACTATTCTTCGTTTGACTTACTTTTTATTGCTGCTCAATAAACAGCTGACAACAGATTTCAGGACTGTTTTTCGATGATCGCTAGGCTAAATGATTAACACAAAAATATATTTGAGAAGTTTTCTTTGACACAATACAATTTAGTAAACTTTCTCTGTAGGACACCTAAAGAAACCTATTAAGCTGCACGGGTCCCAAACGCACCACGCATGGAAACTGCACCTTATATATGAATGTGGAATGCGTCTGTAAAGAATGTAAAACATTTCGACCCAAAAATTACAACGTAAATTTTTCCTCAAAAAATGGAGTAGATTTGCTAATAAATTTGATTAATTTTACTCAAAATTTTGAGTCACTGCATGTGGGTGCATTATGTTATTCACGTTTTTGAGTCAAAATACTCAGGATTTTCACAGTGTTTACATATAAGAGTTCTACACGAAGATGTGTGAACGGTAGATTTGGTACGATGCTAAATTTTATATCACTCTGCTTTGTATGATACCAAGCGCAAGACCAACAGAGTAGACATTTGGAAATTACGAAAGCGAAAGAAGAATTGGCGAAGAAAAATCAAGAAATTTTACAACTTCATTCTTTGCTGAATGAGACAGAACAGTTGTTGGTATGTTTACGTGCTGGTGTATGGTTATAGCATAATATATAGCATAATATTATGACTATATATCTTCAGTATTTCTAGATGACTTCCGCGCATGTAGCACTGCTTCTAGTATATAACATGAATTTTATGATGTTTTCCTTTAGTCAAATGCTTTGTTCCAAGCAAGGAAAAAACACTTGGCGATCGAAACAGCAACGACAAGTAAGGCCCATGTAATAATACACCCATCTGGAAAGTACTAAGTCTTGGATATAGAGCCTCGTTTTTGCGAGTATATTTGTATATATATATATATATATATATATATATATATATATATATATATATATATATATATATATATATATATATATATATATATATATATATACAGCTAATTCAATAAAGGTTGTCCCTTGAAAACCTTAAACTCTAAAACCTTAAACCTTAAACTCTAAGCACGCAAAGCATTATGGGAGTACGATTTAAGCAGTTTAGAAAGCATATATGGAGCCCATTTCTTAGAGACATGGTAAATATCTCCCTGCGAAAACATTTCACTCACAAACAGCTGCAATATTCAACTACTAAGCTTGAAATCAGTGATCCCATTATGCTTTGCACGCTCAGAGTCTAAGGTTTGGAGTTTAAGGTTTGCAAAGGACAACCTTTTTTGAATTAGCTGTATATATATATATATATATATATATATATATATATATATATATATATATATATATATATATATATATATATATATATATATATATATATATACATGAACTTGCGGTTATATACAGCTCGACAACTGGCTCTCTAGTTCCGATAGTTGCAGCGCTGCTCTGGAGGCTCAGGGTCGCAGGTTCGAGTCCTGCCAGAGGACCTAGTGGTGCATTTTTCTCAACCATTCCTGCATGGTTGGATTTTCCACTAAATCCAGCATATTGGGTTTAAACCCTTTATCTTGTTATTCAATTAAGTGATATCAGTAAATGTAAAGGACTTGCATTTAACTGGTTATTACTGGGTAAATTGCTCCGAGACATCATCCACCAAATGAGGCGGCCATAGTCAAGTCTCACTATATTTATTTATTTATTTATTTAACTTCGCCAATATTGCAAAAAATAAAACACACGCACATACAAAGAATATCACAGAGAAAGACAGGGACACCACAGCAGTTAACACCAAAGTTACCAAACCAAGTACTATTGGCCCTTAAAATATTGAAAATATAAACAAGACTATATTGTGTAATATACAGTAGTACTGATGATAATCATACATCATACATTTTTACAAACCATCACTGTGAAGTGAACACGTGGAAATTGTCTTTTTTTTTCAGATAAAATAACGTCCGAAGAATTGATTAAGTATGCTCACAGGATCAGCAGTAGTTGTGCTGTTGAGGCCCCACCAAACTGGATGCCAGGTAAACATGCTACCGCATAATACTTTATTTCACTCCGAAAGTTACAGTTACCGGTCATTATTTATGGCAGGGAGTGGCACCAAAGAGAAATGTTTTTCTTGGTAAAAATTTTACTGATCCAACCATTAAAAAGTCAAATTTGTTTTACCCAATCTCAAATATTAATTAAAAAATAAGTACCCACCCCTGTCCAAAACCGTTACAAAAGGATACCATTCAGTTGTTACACAGTCATGTCCTTTACCGCATCTGTGACATGAGTTTGATAACTGCTTGTGCAATTTTCTGCAGTTTAAAGTTTCATGTTATCTGCACATGTAGTTTCTTTGGAGACACCATTTGCCTCCTGACAAACCGGAAAATGATCAAGATAATGACTCTGATTTACATATTGTATATTGACATATGACTTGCTTTTTAGTCTTATTATATTTCTCAACATTTGAGTGAGTCATGCTGTGGGAATGACAGTAATTTTTATTATCCATCCCTTCAATTGTTTTGTTTTTCATTTACCCAACTTTTTGCTCACTCAAAATTTTCTTTACCCAACCCTTTTCTCTTCGGTGCCCCCCCCCCCTCCATAAATAATGACCGGTCCCTTCGAATAAATATATACAGTCGCAAAATTACAATGGCCACACTACATTTATAGCCTTGCTGCCTATGTACAAGGTTGCGTTAAACACATTTCAAGATTTTGACAAACTAGTTTCTATGTGTAGGTGATCCACGACGTCCATATCCACTGGACATTGAGATGCGCTCGGGATTGCTGGGGAAAATGCAGGAACGACACGTGACTGGAGCACAACTTGTGGAACAGAATAATATGACGAATCCAGCATCATCAGAACACGAGGGAGTGTCACCTTCACTTACTCAAAATGGACACCAAGCTGCTTCAGGTAAATAATTGACACTTATTTACATATTAACAAGGATTTCGGGGAACAGTTTCATTAGATTTTGCCATATTCCAGGAAGTTTTACCAAGGCAGATATCGTAAGTTAAATCGTTTCACTACGTTTTGCATCGTTTTGCTACGTTTCGTTCTGCTATATTTGTACGAATCGTTTTGCTATATACGTTTCGCTACGCAGGCACGTTTCAACTGGTTGTTATAAGCGCGCTTTCCACCAGGCGAATCTGTTTGCGCGAAGCTGGGCGAAAAACAAATGTCAGCAATGTGATTGGTCAGCGAAAAAATTCGCCGCGAAAAAAGTTGAATCAGTTCCCACTTTTTTACTAGTCGCTTTGCACGATCAGTTTCACCTAGTGAAAAACGGGCTTTAGGAGGGCGTTAATAGAGAGGCCTTATTAATTTAGCCAAGCGCATGATTAAGTTCCATAATTACTCTATAATTTTCTTCAGATGTGCAGTGCATGTCGATTATAACAACTTCACTTGGGTTTGACGAATCAACGGTGCAGTCAATCGGACAGTGCATGCATGGCTGACAACGATCGGCCATCTTCAAGATTTACATTTTAGAATCGTGTCAACTTATATACTGTAAGCAAATGCAATTCCAACGACCCATACAACCGAAAGTTCTTGGTCCCGCGGATATTGTTTTCTAATTTTCTGCACGCAGAGCGTGGTACCATAAACTTGTAACGTGATTTTGTTGCTCGTCACAGCGCAGCTAAGAAAATATTTTGTCTTCCTTTTCTTGCTTTTTTATGCTTTTTGAATAGTATATACTAACACAGGACACCCTTTTTGGCGTTTTGCGGAAAATCGCTACTGCGCGCTCAATATCAGTCCAATTTTCATTGACTTTTCACCAATTAAATGTTTGCCAGTGCATGCAAAATATGGTAAAGTTGTAAAATTGACAAACAATAAAATAATGTAAGAATTATTCAGGAAAACCTTAATGGTACCTTTACGTTCTGAGTTGTTTTCCTGCTCGTTTTAATATATATTTATGAAAATATAATTTTTATACACTAAAATAGTTGTTCTAAAAATTGTGTTCGGGAATTTTTGTTTATTTCGTCATTCCGCTGATATGGCGATTTCTTTGACGACTGCAATATATTTCTGAACCGTTTGAGTAAATTGCTCCTAATTATTAACATATTCAAAATTAGAGAAAAGCCGAACACAATTTTGAAACTGACGTCTTTACTCTTTAGCTATGTCCTTTGAAAATTTGAGAAAAATTTGTTAAAACCCACAGGAGAACAACTCGTTTGAAAATCAGTATAATTGCCGTAAAAGTCTTCGGGAGATAATTGAATTTGAATATTACATTTTCAATGTTTTTCTTATTGCAGCGAAATGCATTTTCTTAAATAACTCTGCGAGATTTCAACATTTTTCGTTCAAACTTGGTCAGATAGTAGAACTAGTCTAATGCTTTCATGGAAACCAATAAAAAATTTTAGGCAAAATTGACACTCAAAGGTGTAACAATTCTGTAACCTTAATTTAAATGAAAACTGCATATTTTATTTGATCGGTCAAAATGTCCATGCAGAATTAGATTGATCGGTCATTTAGTGTTTTTATTCGGCAAATAGCCGAACGCCGACCATTATAGTCACTGAGTAAAAAAATTCAAGCGCATGAATTGGAAGTTATATAGCCATAATTCCGCTAATCACTGCAGATCTTTCTTTATTGTGAAAGGGGAGTGCGGGGCTCGAAATAGGGGTTGCTTTTTGAGAAGGAGACCACTCTGGTCGTATTCCGCAAATATTCTCCCAGTACCGCAGGCTCGCATTTTTCGGCGAACTTGCGGTGCATTTTGCACAGAACTGGCCATTTTGTGTAAATGTCCGATGACAAAACGAGCCCGCACGAGTGTGAGAATTTTTTCTAAATTTGACCAACGTGGACTTATATTTGAAAAGGGGCGCTTAATTAATAGAGGATTTAAGATATTTATAATTTGATAATTTGTTATATTTCTGTCCTGTTACTTAGATTCCGGTGCACCAACTTGGCGCTCGGCTTTAAATTCCACTCAAAGTGAGGTATGTATAACGTTTGTGTCAAGTGCATACTACGGTACCTGTGCATACTACGGTACCTGCAGTGCATACTATGGTACCTGTGCATACTACAGTACCTGTGCATGTGACCATGCAGCAGTTTCATATGGCGCGCCGTTTCGGCCAAAAGTATTCGAGGCAGAATTCAAGTCGAGAATCGGCCAAAAGTATTCGAGTGTTTGAAGTTTTACAGACTAGTAGTTAGCAGTACACATGTAACACTTATATCTGTGCCTCGGTCCGCGTCCGATGGTATCGAACACTTTGCTTTGCCGCTTCGCTGTCCGTATTCCATTGAAGGTGTATTTGTGACTACATGCACTGGTCTGTTTTTTCCTTACACAGGCAAACTCCACAGCTCATTCAGGTTTTCTGGACCCTGATATACATATTGATATTTCTAATGGATTGATGGGGAACACACGTGATGAACTGGAACAAATGAGTACATCATCGTCATCCACATCCAGTGACAGTCCTTGAGATACCATGTTCCTGCCTACTGGTTTTCATGCTGGACTTTCATTCTCGCGTCAACTGATGAGGGTTATGTGATAGGTTTAGCCAGCAGCAAACATTATATCATCAACTATGGTGTCCTGCAGTGAGAGGCCAGATCAATCGAGCATGAGACTGGACCATAGTTCGTGTTCGTAAGCGTGAGTTTGCATGAGAATTTCCCTCACGCCCCAATCAAAACGAGAACAAGAATTCGTATGCATATATAACGGAGTGAACAGACTCTAGTACAGGATGACAAACAAAGTATAGCGTTCCGTTCCGGTCAAAATTATTTTAAGTCAATAAGTAATATTCAATCATCCTATCAACATGTTATAACTCTCAATATAATGTTGAAAATATCAAGATAAAATTCGAACTCAAAAAAATAAAACGAAAGTTGAAAGCATATACTTGAAAAATGCAAAATACATTTCAAACCTCAAAGGATATACATGAAAAATAAACGCAAGTCCTAACTTCTATTTATAATACGAAACACCAATTTGAAAATAATAAGTCAAAGCCCAGTCAAAAATATAACTCGGTAGAAAACGGAAGTAAGCAACTTAAAACACAGAGGACATTGAGGACATTAGGACACGGAAGTGAACCAAGAAGCCAGCCTAAAGATTTCGAAATTGAAGAATTCTTTCTCTCTTTACAAACATTGCTGAGCTCATCTTTTAACAACAACATTTACTATGATTCAGCCGAATATCTTTCTCGCCGTCTGGATGTTTACGAGAGAAATATAAATATTCTTGTACTAATCTATAGCTAATCATGGGTGTGTATAGCTAATCCTGGGTCTTTCCTTGCAATTTCTGCCCAGGAAAGTCCAACTTGAGAATTGAGAGTTTCGATAGCCTGTTGTCAGACGTTATTATTTAATCTTATTTAATCACGGTAGCCTTTCAGAAGTACATCTGTTTTTCAAAGGGCCGTGAGTTCATTAAAATATTTACATAATTGGAGAGAAAAAAAAAAGAAATCTAAAAGCGAGAAAAACAGGCCACTTACATAAACTATTTACATGGATGCAATTAATTACACTATAGATTAGGACCAATGGATTAGGACATACGTTTTATGACACTCTTAAAGGAGTTGACAGAGACATCTTCTATTAATGCTTCTATTAATGCCAGTCTTGGTCTTCCCACACCAGAAATGGTTACTCCCACACTTGCCTGAACACTACCGTGGTCCTCCTCCACGAACAATCACTTTAAAGGTGCACATATCTGACAAAAGTTGTTGTTCTAGATGATACGATTCACTATGAAGCCTTGTGAGATTGAGAAGAATATTTATATTTCTCTCGTAAACATTCAAACGGCGAGGAAGATATTCGGCTGAATCATAGTAAATGTTATTGTTAAAAGACGAACTCAGCAATGTTTGTAAAGAGCGAAAGAATTTTTCTATTTCGAAATCACTAAGCTGGCTTCTTGGTTCACATCCGTTTCCTGACTTCCTCTGTATTTTAAGTTGCTTACTTCCGTTTCCTTTCCATATATGTTTTTGACTTTTCGATCTATTGTTATAAGCCGCGGCTTTGACTTCACTTGCGTTTAGTTTTCTTATATCCTTCTTTGTGGTTTGAACTGTATTTTGCATTTTTCAAGTACTCTAGTTTTGAGTTTGAATTTTATCTTGAATTTTCAATATTATATTGAGAGTTATAATGTAGCATTTGTAAATTCTGAACGCTGATTGGCCAAGAGCCGTGTTGATATAACTCAGTGTCAACACGGAAACGTTGGAAAATTTCTTTCTTTATATTTCTTTGTGCTATATTATAAAACAAATAAAAAACATTTTTTCCGTATTGATATATAGTTATATCAACACTCGTGGAAATTGGGAAAACTCGAAATTGTGTGAAAACACTCCGCCCTTCTGCTATATTATAAAACAAATAAAAAACATTTTTTCCGTATTGATATATAGTTATATCAACACTCGTGGAAATTGGGAAAACTCGAAATTGTGTGAAAACACTCCGCCCTTCGGGCGTCGTGTCTCCACACAATTTCTCGTTTTCCCAATTCCACTCGTGTTGATATAACTGTATATCAACACGGAAAATGCTTTATATTTGTTAATTATAACATGTTGATATGATGATTGAATATTACTTATTGACTTGAAATAATTTTGACCGGAACGGAACGCCATAACAAAGCTAGCAGTGTAGTATTTCTGGTGTTTACAATTACATGCATTTTGTCTTTCTTGGCAGCGAATACAGTCAAAACAAATCAGCAACAATTAATGTTGGAACAAAGAGAAAAACGCGAGCTTTTCAAAGTTTGTAATATTTTTATCCAAATCGGGTTTGACACAAAAAGTTCCATTTTGGGGAATCGCCCGAGTTGCAACTTGCTTGGTGTATCATGCATGAACACATACTTGAGTTGGTGCTGTGTAAATGTCCATTTACGCGATACGACTACTCGTATACAATTGTCATCTTGGCGTATGAAAACGACTGCTGACGCCACTATTCCTGTTCATCAGTTTATGGAGAAAATTTGGACTGAAATTTATGGAGAAAATTTGGATTTGAATTTGATCTTTACAAGTATTTATTTGAGTACATGCGCCATGCAGTATATAGAGAATAATACATGGGTCCGCGGAAATACCAGATTTATTTCGAGTGTTGAACATGATATCTCACGAGTGAGCGCAGCGAACGAGTGAGATATCATGTTCAACACGAGAAATAAATCTGGTATTTCCAAGCACCCATGT